TATTATTTTTAATTAAAATACTTATTGTAAACAGTTAAATTTAAATTTATAAAAATTCAATTCTGAATTATTCTTAAATAACATTTAAAAAGATGCATAGTATAAGTGTGGTAAACTGGATTAAGAAAAATTGAAATCCTTTATTATTATTTTTAATTTCATTAAATTTAAGAAATAACATTAAATTTTAAATTAAATAAATTTTATTTTTTATGAATTATGAATTATTTTATATAGATATAATTATATCATTCTTATCATTATTATTGAATAAACAATTCTAATTGTTCTATACATAAGGATTGATTTTCTATTTCCATAGAATCAAAAGGTTTGATTTATAATCGATTTGATTTTCTTTAATTATCTTATTCTATTTCTTTATAAACTAATTTTGAACCCATTTAATGACTTTAAAATAAGAATTAATCTCCAAATTTTTCCTGTAAAATAAATTAAATTCTTGAAATTTCATATAATACATTAAGTAATCTGCATTTTTTTCTGGCTCCTTTTAGTAAAGTTTAATGCATTTTAGATAGGATATGAAAGGGAATTTAAATATTATTGATATTCTTATTTGAAATTTGAATTTAATTTAATAAGTTGAATTTATATTCTTTAAATTCTGGGTAATACATCTTTATAATAGAATTGAATAATAAATTTTCTAATAATAAATTGTTATAATATATTATAATATGCTTTAATAAAAATATTAATTGGATTATTGAACCAATTTAAGCTAAAACTTATCCTAATTTTGGATATGAAACTTCTTCAATAATTGATATATTGTCTATTCTAAAAAGATAACAACCATAACTATCAAAATCATAAGAAAAATTTGAAGTTAAATTTATTACTTTAGCTGCAAATTTTAAATCAGTTTCTTAACTAATTATCTCATAATTGTTTAAAAAATTATATTCTTCGTAATTATTGAATAAAATTCCATCATCAATTATAGTTTTTTATTATTTCAACATAATTTGAGAGTAAAATGGTTTGTTAGCATCAAAACCTGTATAATATTATTTTTTTAACTATTCAAATTCTTTTGTGACTATATTTAATTTACTTAAATATATATTTATATATAAGAATCCATGAAATCTTGATAAATAATCATTAATAGTATTTTCATCTGCACAATAACTTCCAAAAATATTATAATCTTATGAACATCTAGCTAAAACAATTGAATATTATCTCTGTTACTAATTCATTAAATCTTAATTTGACAATGAATTCAATACTATAGTAAGGTTTTTTAATTCAATTCGATATGGTTGATCTTCACTTGAAAATAAAGGTATTGGTTCTTCTAATATTGAAGTATTTATAAATGTAAATAAAAGAGGAGTTATGATATTATTCTCTTTTTTAAAAGGATCAATGTCACCAAGAAAATCTAACAATTATATTTCAATGACTGATTCTTTTAATTCAAATTCTGCATAACCTAATATTTCTTATTTTGAACTTATTGTTGGTGCTAGTTAATTATTATTCCATAAAATGAATATATACAAAAAATAAATAAGGCTTAGACTGCTTACGATAATTGTTGTAATGCCACCAAGTTTACTTTAAAATTTTTCATTTTCCTTATTAGTTAAAAGACTTATTGGAACACCAAAAATGTCTAATTTCTCAAGTTAGTTCAGAAAATTTTTCATAATTTCTAATCAATTTTATTTTAAGAATAATATTTTCTTGAAATTAAGAACCTGTTTAATTTTTTCTATAAATAATTTAGCCTCCAAAATGAGCTCATAAATTTTATGAATGATAATCATAGAGTATGTAACAACTAATGATTGAATATATATATTTTAATGAATGGTAAGAATATATACATTTTTAATATTCAACATAATTTAAAATTTATTTATCATATTGATCCAATCATCCAATTCCAAATATTTAATTATCTCTTTAATCAATATTTATAATTTTTTACACTTATTATTGTATTAAATTTAATTAAAAATTGATTATTAAAACTGATTTGGTTGATTTGAATTAGGATTGTATTTACTGTTCTATTCAAACAATCAATTAATCGAATTTCTCTAATTATTGCTAAAAAGGATCCTTATTTAATAAGGAATTTTTGAATAAAATTGTAAATCCACTCAAAAAAACTAAATTAACTAGAAATAAAGGTAAATTTTTAATTAATTTTTGTAAAAACACAAATTGTTTATTATAAAATTATTATTATTATTATGAATATTTAAATTATCTCATCTTTTATTTCTTAGATATGTTATTATATCTTTTTAGGAGAATCCTTATTCTAGCATATAATATTTAACCATAGAGAACTTATTTACAAAAAATAAAGAAATGGCTAATTTTATCATGATAAGTAAAACCTTTTTATCTTTTAAAATTTAGTTTGGGAGATATTTATAATGCTATGTCAAATAATGTTATTGCTTCTTAATGCAATTCTTAGGATTATAATGCAATACCTATATAAAGTATATCAATTATAGTCACCTTTATTAAAATAGGCTTCTGCATATTTAGAGTTGATTGCAATAGCCTTATCAAAGTTTTCTATGGCTTCTTGAAATTAAGATAATCTATTTAGCAAAACACCTTATATTAAGATACTCTAACCTTTGTTTAAATAGGCTTTATCATAATTTGGATTTAATTTAAGAGCTTAGTTAAATTATTCACCTGCTTAATCATATTGGAAAAGATTAAGTAATGCAAAACCTAAGTTTTTAATAAAAATTAACCTTTATTAAGTACAGCTTTGTAATTTTTTGAATTAATTTTTAATGCTTAATCAAAAATTTGAATAGCTGCCTCCCATTAATTCAGTTTAATTAAAGTAAGTCCTTAAATTGAATACTTAAATACCTTTGTTGGTTAAAGCGATATCACTTTTATGATTAATTTGAATGGCCTTATTTAAGTACTCCAAAGCTTCTTCATAACGATCTAGTTTTCTTAATAAAGAGCCTAATCATTTTTAATTATAGAACCTTTATTGTAATATGCTTCATCAGAATGAGGATTTAGTTCAATAGCCTTATCATAACATTCTAGAGATTGATCTGATTAATTCAAATTTTCCAATGCATAGCCAAAAAATAATAATCATAAATACCTTTATTGAGAAAAGCTTTCCAATTATTAGGATTTAGAAAAATTGCTTGATTAAAACTATTTATTGCTTCTTCATATCTCTTTAGTTTTGTTAACGCAAGTCCTAAGATTTTTGGTTAAATTTTTATACCTTAATTATTATAAACTTAATGATTATTAGGTTATAACAGTATAGTTTCTTCAAAATATATCAACGCCTCTTCATATTAATTTAATCTTGATAGTAATAACCCTAAATAATAATAATTTGCAACCTTTATTATTTAAAGCAGGATAATATTTTGGATTTATTATGATTACTTTATTATACATTTCAATAGCTTCCTTGTAATTTTGAAGACGTGTTAATTATAAACCTAATTTATAGAATTTATTACCTTTCTGAAAATATTCTTAAAAAGCTTTGTCTCTTTATTTTAAATCGTTTTTCTTTTTTGATTTTTCTAATTTTATCTGCTAAATGTTAATGTTATTTAAATCATCATTTTTTAATTAAATTTCTTTTCTAAATTCTAATTAGTCAAGCTCCTTTTTAATAGTTTCATCATGATTTTATTCTTTATTCAATTAAATCTGTACTTAATCTAAAGTAATAGATAGAGACTTAAATTTACTATTATCATTAATTTCTTGTTACATATATGAGTATTATTTTTTAATTTAAAATATAATAATGTTTTATATTTATTTGGATAAAAATTATAAATTGATGAATTTCTGATAAAGATCAATTAAACATGAATATTTTAATTATTACTTTATATTATTTTAATAGGTACATTTGCTATACACTATAGAAATTTTAAATAATGTATTTATTTTTCTAGACTTAAATATTCATTAAAATGATTAAAATTCATTTTTAAATATTTAGATCCTCAAAATTTGGTTAGTACTTTTATTTATTAAATATATTAATTGTAATGTTAACTATTTCTTATCTTTCAAATATATTGATAAATTTTTATTTTATATTCAATTAATAATGTATAAATATCTCGAAAAATCTGGAAATTCAGTTGAATATATTGATAGAAAGGAAAATATCAAAAATCAATAGTTTAACAAGATCATACTTTTTTATATAATAATAACATTAAATTACAAAAGTAATTTAATAAATGAACCAATCTTCAATTATATTAAAAATATGAAAAATTCAAACTCAAATATTTACAAATACCTAAACAAGTTAAAGTCTATATCAATAGGATTATATAATATGAGTTTGATAATTTTTTGTAATGATTTTAAAACATAAAATTATAAATATTTTACCATATCTTTTCATATTAATTCATCAATCAATACCAATATTTTGTACATAAGAAATAGATCAACTTAATCTTGCACTTATTAGATTAAAATTTTGCTAATTGATACTAATATTAGATTTTCAATTTCTTCATTATTAATATGTAACCAATATGAATTATTAAAGTATTAAAATTATGCAGATTCAATGATTGAATCAATAATATCTTTATTAATTAAATCTTTTTCTTCTTTTGTTATTTAAAATTTATATTCATTTTCATATTTTTGTTATAAAAAATATTCAAATGTTTTATTAACTTATTCTTTGATTGAAACTCTTATTTTATTTTCTCTCTATGATATAATATTGTATTATTGTCTAACTTTAAATAAATAGTCAGTTATTGAATAAGATACTAAATTTTTACCGAATATTGGAATATAATATTACAATATAGATTCAACTACAACTTATCCAAATGCATTTCCAAATTCAATAATTTATTCTAAATCTTTGTTAATTTTAGGAATTATTTTATATCTTGGAGATTCAATATAATCATTTATATTATCATCTATATTTAAACATTAGAAGCAATTGTTATAAATATTTTCTTAATAATGAAATGCACTTAAATTTTTTTGAATAATTTATATAATTTATNCTGATGAAGAACACTACCATCACCTTTTGGGATCAAATAAGAAAACTTCTTGGGTGAGCCTAATTATGACATCATCAGAAATATAAGTTAATTAAATGTTTTATAAAATTATAAATAATTGTAATTTAATTTTAATAATCTCTATGCATGAAATTTTAATCTCAAACTTCTTAAGTTTTTTTCATAGATCCCATAATATATTCAATTAATAATGTATAAATATCTCGAAAAATCTGGAAATTCAGTTGAATATATTGATAGAAAGGAAAATATCAAAAATCAATAGTTTAACAAGATCATACTTTTTTATATAATAATAACATTAAATTACAAAAGTAATTTAATAAATGAACCAATCTTCAATTATATTAAAAATATGAAAAATTCAAACTCAAATATTTACAAATACCTAAACAAGTTAAAGTCTATATCAATAGGATTATATAATATGAGTTTGATAATTTTTTGTAATGATTTTAAAACATAAAATTATAAATATTTTACCATATCTTTTCATATTAATTCATCAATCAATACCAATATTTTGTACATAAGAAATAGATCAACTTAATCTTGCACTTATTAGATTAAAATTTTGCTAATTGATACTAATATTAGATTTTCAATTTCTTCATTATTAATATGTAACCAATATGAATTATTAAAGTATTAAAATTATGCAGATTCAATGATTGAATCAATAATATCTTTATTAATTAAATCTTTTTCTTCTTTTGTTATTTAAAATTTATATTCATTTTCATATTTTTGTTATAAAAAATATTCAAATGTTTTATTAACTTATTCTTTGATTGAAACTCTTATTTTATTTTCTCTCTATGATATAATATTGTATTATTGTCTAACTTTAAATAAATAGTCAGTTATTGAATAAGATACTAAATTTTTACCGAATATTGGAATATAATATTACAATATAGATTCAACTACAACTTATCCAAATGCATTTCCAAATTCAATAATTTATTCTAAATCTTTGTTAATTTTAGGAATTATTTTATATCTTGGAGATTCAATATAATCATTTATATTATCATCTATATTTAAACATTAGAAGCAATTGTTATAAATATTTTCTTAATAATGAAATGCACTTAAATTTTTTTGAATAATTTATATAATTTATTGAGTAGTTGAATTTGGCTAACATAAATTTACTATTGGTTACAATAACTCTTTATAATAGGAATTTCTTGTATTATTGTTAGTTCGTAGAAAAATAATTTTATTAAAACATGAGGTGATAATAAATTTTATGATTTCTTTAATTTTCTTTGATGCTTCTGTGATACCTGATTCATTTGTTTTTTCATAAAAGGGACAGTCATATCCAGTAAAATGAATTGAATAATCTAAAAATTAATAGATTAGACTTGGATATTGACTCTTTTAAGTTAGATGGAGCCAAATTCTATTAGAATCAAGATAATTATGTTTAATTCCATTTGTTTCTAAAAATTATACTTTCTCCAATAGTTTTAAGAATAAAACCAATAATTACCCTAAATGAATACGAATAAAGTTGGATTACTAATAAAATATATTACAATTTATATTTACAATCCAAAATATCAAATCTGTTAATCTAATAGATTATCCAGAATTTATTGTGTACTTAACTGATTGTTGAAGTTAATCTATATTTGCTGAACCAAATTAGTCAAAGCTAATGGCTTTTACTATTTCATCAAAATTATTAAAAGGATATACCTATGTAATAATATATTTCATTTTTAACATTTTAATTAATTATATTTTTATTTAACAAAATATATTTAAATTAAAAGAATTAAAAATATTCGTTCAACCAAAAATATAATAATTCTATTATTTTTATTTATTAAAGGCAATTGATGGATTCATAATGTTTATATTTATTCTTAATTAGATTATATTATTAATATTAACTATTCGTTAATATTTGTAACAAGGTTAAATTTTTAAATCCTCTAAAATTGATAAATTAGATAATATTTATTGGAATCAATTATCAAAATATAATAAGTTATATATATTATTTAGTCTTTAAAAAAAATCAGAATCTGCAATACAAAAGGGGATATTTAAGACGATTATATTATCTTTTCAAGGGTATTGATTTTTGTTTATTTGTATTTTTGAAAAAATAATGTTTTATTTACTTTAATTTGAAATGATCACTAGAGCCATATTATTCATTCAATTTTTTAGGAAGATCATCATTTTTAAATTAAGTTATTTTTAGATGCTTATCTTTATTGATTCATTTTCTCTATTTTACAATAATTTTTAGATAGATTCAAACTATCTTTTAATCACGTAGCTTAAATTTGTTTCCACCCAGGTTAACTCTACTAGCAGATGTAATCTTAAACTAATTAGAAAGGTAATTAACTTTTTTGAAAGAAATTTGATTAATGAAGAACAAGTATAAACATTTTAGGAACTTAACATGCAAGATATTTTTCTATTTTAAAGATTTCGAATGAGAGTTTTCTATTAATGCTGTTAAATTTACTACTAAATTAAATTATTCCTATCCACATAAAAGATAGGATAACCTTACTTTAAACAGACATAATAATTCAATCTATTCTGTTAAGGTTATTCAAGAATTTAAAACTTAGTTCTTTTTCCTAAACTCTTTCCTGTTAAATATAGGATCACTAATAATTATTTCGTTCAGAAATATTGTTTCATTAATTCATAAATATCATTAACCCATAATTTCAGGACCAGATCAATATATAATTTGATCATTCATAAACATATATAATCTAATAAAAAATTAAAAATTATTATTTAATTTTTATATAAATTAACACCTTCAAACTTTGTGAAAAATAAAATTAACTTACAAAATAAGTATCATATATCACTTATTTTTATATATCCAATTAAAACTTTAAATAGTAATTTAATTCATATGAGATTCATCATTTTTTAAAAAAAGGTTCATTAAAAATTAATCAAGATGAAACTGTATTTGCTAAAAAAGAAGCTATATGTAGTAAATCTAAACAATTAATGCTATCTCTAATATTCACTTCAAATCCCTTATAGATAATAATTGCAAAATTAGAGATACTTAAAAAATTTAATTATAAATATTTAATATCATAATATAGCATTAGCATTAATTGTTGAGATATTCATAAATATTAAATGATATTGTTGTTTCATGAAATATTTTTTGAAAACTTGAATATTTTGGATCATTAAGCATAATGATGATATTAATTGAAAAAGAAGTATATTTGATAATAAAACAATAAAATTTAATAATTGAAATATTTCTTAATCAAAACTAATTGATTTAAATTCCTTTAACATAAATGATTGAGCCTAATTACAATTGAAGATTAATAGTTTAATTGAACCTAAAAACTAATTTTTTCATTTTATTTTACGTTATTGCTCATTTCTTAAAATTAAATATTTAGTTATATATATTTACAATAATTATCATTTCATAATATAAAATCACTTAGATTACACAAAATATGTAAATCTATTTCCTAAAAATTCTGATTATCTAAATGGAATTAAATTAAGATTAAAGTCACATTAAAATCATAATAATGAAATAAAATTTATTTTAATGAAATAATAGAGTTTATTTACGTGTTAAGATATTACACACGAAGATGAAGTTATCTAAGGATTTTGTTTAAATTTGGAATGCTAAGATTCTAGATCTTAGTTTTGTCTTTAATGTGGAGTTGATCCTATGAAACATTCAAATTGCAGGAAAGATCTAAAGGGATTTGGTTAGATCTAAAATTTTATCACTAAATTCAATTAGTATATAATTGATTTAATTAACTAATTCAATTAATAATATTCATTAGTCAAAAAAAAATATGAAGAATCGACAAAATAATTGGAGAACATTAAAATATCATTATAAAAGATATCTCATAGTTTAAATTAATAAGATTATCAATAAATCAAAGATAATCTGTAAATGATTAAGGAATGTTATCAATTTTCAAACTATTAAGAAAAGATAATGAAATAGAATTAAATTGGTATTTTACATTATTAATATTTATAGGAACTTAATTACTAAGTATAAAAAGAATGATTCAAGCTTTGGAATAAGATTAAGGGAAATAATAAATTATTATACAAGATAATGGAATCACACTTGAGTAAGGTATTCAAATTTATTATAAATTATTTTAGGAATAGAACTATTAAATCAGAAAAAATGGTAAGAGGCTAATGATAAAATAACTTAATACTTAAAAATATTGGATAAATAATCATCATTAGCAACATTCTTTTTAAGTACTTCTAAAATATTTATTATATAAAAGGTATTTCTTTAATCGAAATGAATCAACCTGGAAAAGGTATGAAATTAAGAGAATAAGCAAAAAAGATTAATAGTAATTTATATAGAGATCTATTGAATTATTCAGATTTAGAACTTTAGAAAAATTCATAAAATTCTTTTATTTTAATTGCTAAAAGTTAATAAAATCTATAATTTCTATAGGTTATGCATTAAATGATGAAAATAAATATAAATTAGCAATTGAGTAATGTGAAAAAGTGTTAAAAGATGAACCTTCACATCTTCATGCTTTGTATAGAAAAAGTAATAATTTATTTTTTAATTTAGGCTTTTCTTTATAAGATTTGAATTAACATTCTTAATCGATTTCATGCATTGATAAAGCTTTAAATTATCATTCAAAATATAGTATAGGTTATATTTTTAAGGGTAATTCAAAACTTTATGATTTCAAGGGAATTCGTTAAATAATCTTAGTGAATATGAAAATGCCATTGTTTGCTATGATCAAGCAATCAAAATTGATCCTCATTATGCATAAGTTTATTTTAATAAAGGTTATTAATTTTGTTACTATAATAGGCATTTCCTTAGCTAATCTTGGTGAAGATGACGATGCAATTGTTTGCTATGATTAAGCAATTTTAATTGATCCTAATTATGCATAAGCCTATTTTAATAAAGGTTAATAATTTTGTTATTGTAATAGGTTATTTGCTATACATTCTCATAAAATTCATATAAAGTATCTTATCAATTCATCTATTAAAACATATCTTCTTTTTTAAAAAAAAGTGTAAAAAATTTTTAATTTTTTATTCCTATCTAAATTTTACAATAATTATTAATTACTCAAAAATCAAAGATCTTAGTAAACATTTTTACAATATCCAAAAATTAAATAATTGAATAAATCTTTGAAAAAAGAATGTTTCTTAGCATAAAGAATGGAAAAAATAATGTAAAAAGTGTTTCAGTATTATTTCTTTGGCTTGTTATCCTACTTTATTAAAATAGAAATATGTGATTTAGCATTTTTTTATAATTTAGCCTTTCTTTTTCATGAAATTTCTACCATTCAAAATTAAGGTATCTTTACTTTAATTCCATATTAGTGATTCTAAACATCTTAAATTTTTAATATGACTAAATTAGATTTAAAATATTAAATAAGAAATTGAATTTTATTTTCATAATATACATAAGAATATGTAATTAATCGACACTTTCATTTTTAATCTTTTTTTTTTACTAATTTTGCATGATAAAAATTTGTTAATAAATTAAATCTTTACTTCAATAAAATAACTAATTTTTCAATTAAAGAAAATAAGGATTATTTTTTAAATATAAATGTTTTAGGATGAAAATTATTAATTTTATTAATAATAAAGAAGTTAATGTAAGATTGATGATAATTTTTAGTTATTAAATTAAAAGATTTCATTATTAATAATTATCAATTTTGAGCTTTCAAAAGGTTTTCTAAATATCAAATTAGAAATACTGAAAAAAATTACTGTCATTATGTATTTTTATTTATTATATTAATAGAAAATTTTAATTGTAAGAAGAACTTTAGTCAATTGATTAATGATAGATTATTAGAAAGGTTGAAGAAAGATTCAAGTTAATAAATGATTATAAATGATTCTTGATGTATAAGTTAGAGAACATAACAGGGCCTTAATATATTTCGAATTATTATATTTAAGTTTTTGATAAGAACTATCTTATGAAATAATTAATCTTCTAAAAAAAAAAANAATGCCATTGTTTGCTATGATCAAGCAATCAAAATTGATCCTCATTATGCATAAGTTTATTTTAATAAAGGTTATTAATTTTGTTACTATAATAGGCATTTCCTTAGCTAATCTTGGTGAAGATGACGATGCAATTGTTTGCTATGATTAAGCAATTTTAATTGATCCTAATTATGCATAAGCCTATTTTAATAAAGGTTAATAATTTTGTTATTGTAATAGGTTATTTGCTATACATTCTCATAAAATTCATATAAAGTATCTTATCAATTCATCTATTAAAACATATCTTCTTTTTTAAAAAAAAGTGTAAAAAATTTTTAATTTTTTATTCCTATCTAAATTTTACAATAATTATTAATTACTCAAAAATCAAAGATCTTAGTAAACATTTTTACAATATCCAAAAATTAAATAATTGAATAAATCTTTGAAAAAAGAATGTTTCTTAGCATAAAGAATGGAAAAAATAATGTAAAAAGTGTTTCAGTATTATTTCTTTGGCTTGTTATCCTACTTTATTAAAATAGAAATATGTGATTTAGCATTTTTTTATAATTTAGCCTTTCTTTTTCATGAAATTTCTACCATTCAAAATTAAGGTACTAACTACTGTAAAAACTGACATCAAGTTCTTAAAATGGCTCACAAAATATCATGCTTTTCGTGCGCGATGTTTTAAGGGCTCTCAGGTTCCTAGACAGGGATATTGCTAGATTTCCTTCCAGGAGATACCAATATAAGGTTTTCACAAAACTTTTAAAATTTCCCATCCCTTTTTAATTTTAAAAATTAATCTTTACTTTTTAATAAGATCATTAATATATTTAGACTGAATTATTTAAAACCAAAATTATCTGTGATTAATCGTATTATGATTTGATTTATCAAAATACATTAAAAATTAAATTGAGATTATTTAAAAAATTAGAATAGAATTAATTATTTAATGTTTTAAATTTTTATTCATATATTGAAATTCAATTAATAAAATTAGTATTAGTTCTTTCTGATTTCAATAAAAATTAAATAGGATTACTCAATTATCCAAAAGAACACTTTTAGAAATTTTACATGTATAGATCTCACATAGTTTATTCAGAATTATAAACTATTAACAATCTAATTCTAAAAAAATGTTTAATCTAATTTACTTTTAGAATGAAAAACTAAATTAAACTAGTGTATCTTTACTTTAATTCCATATTAGTGATTCTAAACATCTTAAATTTTTAATATGACTAAATTAGATTTAAAATATTAAATAAGAAATTGAATTTTATTTTCATAATATACATAAGAATATGTAATTAATCGACACTTTCATTTTTAATCTTTTTTTTTTACTAATTTTGCATGATAAAAATTTGTTAATAAATTAAATCTTTACTTCAATAAAATAACTAATTTTTCAATTAAAGAAAATAAGGATTATTTTTTAAATATAAATGTTTTAGGATGAAAATTATTAATTTTATTAATAATAAAGAAGTTAATGTAAGATTGATGATAATTTTTAGTTATTAAATTAAAAGATTTCATTATTAATAATTATCAATTTTGAGCTTTCAAAAGGTTTTCTAAATATCAAATTAGAAATACTGAAAAAAATTACTGTCATTATGTATTTTTATTTATTATATTAATAGAAAATTTTAATTGTAAGAAGAACTTTAGTCAATTGATTAATGATAGATTATTAGAAAGGTTGAAGAAAGATTCAAGTTAATAAATGATTATAAATGATTCTTGATGTATAAGTTAGAGAACATAACAGGGCCTTAATATATTTCGAATTATTATATTTAAGTTTTTGATAAGAACTATCTTATGAAATAATTAATCTTCTAAAAAAAAAAAGAGATATTGTAAATGGTACATTTTCATTTAAAATATATCATTTAAAATTTATTTAATATATACTTATTATCAATATTAAAATTAAAAAATAGATATGTCAGATTTCTTGGATTCATAATCATTAGATAAGTCTATACTGTAAAATGAATTTAAAAATGAGGAATAAGGTTTTGTTGAATAGAATGAATAAATTAAAAAAATATAGAATAATGAAATTTAAGAAAGGGAGATCAGATAAACAGAAGATGTTGAAATAAAATAAAAGAAGGATGAGGAGATATTATATATGAATGTAGAATAAAAAAAAGAAGGAAAAGTCAATTATGAACTCATTGATTAACATACAATTAAATAAAATGAATGGTGTTGCGATGTTGCTTTTAATAAGGATCAATAAATTGTGGTTGCCGGTTGCAATGAGAACATTAAAGTATTTGAACATAATTAAGGTAAACTGGATCAAATTTAATTGTTAAGTGGACATAAAAAAAGTGTGCTAATTTTAAGGTTTATGAGTATAAATAATTTTGTTTCTGGAGGTGGTGATAATGCAATTATAATATGGTAAGAGATTGGATATCATAAATGGAATTGTTAATAAAAATTAATTGGACATTTAGATCCTATTTATTGTTTATTAGTAAATAATAATGATAATCTCATTATATCATGTAGTCATGATTGCACAATTAATTTTTGGATTAAATAGAAATAATGGTTATGTTAACAAACAATATCTGATCATTAAGATTAAATATATTCATTAAGCTTAAATGAACAATAAAATAAATTGATTTCTTGTTCTAAAGATTCATACATTTTAGTTATAGAATAATTAACATAAGATTAATAATGGTATGTAACATAAAAGATAAAAGTAGATTAATTTGGATACAGGATATGTTTTATTAATGATAACATTTTCATATTCTAACCTTATTGTTAAGAATAAATGCATATGTATGAAATGGATAGTCATAGCTAAATATTTATGAAGACAAAAGAGATTTTTGTAAATTGTGATTCTATTTATTGTGAATTGTTATTTTAATAATAATACTTAAAGTTAAAATGTATTCTTGTAAATAAGAATGGTAGGAATGTGAATATAATGCGTAAGAAAGAAAATGGTGACTTTATAATTTAACAGTCTATATAATTTAATACTTCTGATATTTTTGGATAATTAAGTGATAATGGGGATTATTTGATCACTTGGGATTTTAGATCAAAAGAAATATAAATAAGATAGTTTAAGGAATTATGAAATTTATATAACATATAATATTAATTAATATTATATTACATCAGTCTGATTCAGTTATTATTAAAGATCATTTAATTAATATTCCAAGTAAATTAAATGTGTAAAGGATTTCTCACTTGATTATTTAGAGTTTGATCATCTAAAAGATAATTATTGAAGAATATATATATTTTGCTACTTTTTATAAATCTTAATTAAAAGGAACAGTAGAATATAATTTAATTATAACCACATTAAAAATTCCTCATCAATATTAGTAATTTGAATAATCAAAAGTGAATAAGATGTAAATTAAAGATCCATTATTGTTATTAATAAAGGTTCAATTTATATGACATTGGAGCATTTTGATAGGATAATTATGTTTGATAATTAATCAATATACAATGTGATTGATTAACAATTAGATTTAGATTATGTAGATTATTCCCATTTAAATAACGTGATTGCATAAATAATTAGTTCATACACTGGACTAAGAAGATTTAACAACATTAACAATTCCAAACTTTTTTAAAATATTTGTCCATATTCTGATTTGCATTATATCATTCCTTCATATGGAAAAATGAGTTTAATAAATGATTACACTAGAAATAAATAAAATCAAACTGAATTTATAAAATATCTAATTTAAAAGGAGATTAAACTTTATTAATGTACTAAAAATCCTAAACATCTTTCAACAACCTTATTATTTAGATAAAAGGAAGAGAACAATTTTTATGGCAAGTTCAATTTGACCCTTTAAAATTTAGAACATTTCTATCAATAAAATCCTCTAGTTTTTCAATGTACTTCATCTAATTACTAAATATTACCTGAACTGGCTGAAATGAAATAAACTGGAATATTCTTCTCAAATGATGCTTCAATTTCAAACAGATTTAATTTGTTAGGAAAGTAGTGGGATTAACTTTATGCTAAACGAGCTTTTGGTTGGGTCTATGTTGGAGAAGGTCTTGAAGAATGTGAATTTTAAGAAGGAAGAAACATATTGGAATCTTTAGAAAAAAGTTACAGTGGAATTATAGATGCACCTGATTCTTCAAATTAGAATAATTTTAATGATGAATTATGAGTTATACTATATTTTAACAATATATTATTCTCTATTATTATTTGAAAATACTAACTTAGTCTATAATTTATATCCAAGATTTAAAAAGCTTATCTTTCTATAATTTATGGATGTTTAATTACTCATATCAAATGATTTATTTAATAATAATGATATGTTTAGAGATTATGATAGATTATCATGGAAAGTAATCATAAAAATCTAAGAATTTAGATGCCTAAAATTCTTTTAAGAACTACTTTCAGTAGGATATTCTATATTGATATTAAAATGTATAAAAAAAAATTAATTGAATAGTCTTAATTTAATAAATTAAAATAGTCTTTTAACAAATATGACTGGCTTTATTTTTAATTGCAATTTTTTGAAGTTAATACTAAACAAATCGAAAGTTTCGAGATAGAAGTAATTGTTATTTAATAATTAGATTTCTATGATGATATTGATTAAGTATTTAAGTTTGAGAATTGAAAACTAAGATTAATCATGTCATTGAATAATAATAAATTGAAAGTTATTCAAGATATTAGTTGCTTGGTTGTTTTAAAAAGCAAAATTTAAAGATTAAATTAATTTAAATCAGATTACATACTAGGATCTATTAATTCCAATTTTAAATATTTAATTACATGGAATAATTAATCATAATACTTATAAATTAGAAAATTTTATGAAGAATAATCTTTAATCTTATGATATACAAATAAATATAAAAAGTATTAATATAATATTTATAACATATACACATAGATTGAATGAATTTTATAACATATTTTTATCTTTTATACTACATTTGTATCTAATTTGAAATTTTAATACTTCAGCTAATAACTTTGTATTTCCCTTTTTACAACATAAATCCAGGTCATTACGATTGATTTTTAATAATTATTGAACCTTTAATCTTATTATTTACGATAATTTTCAGAAATTTTTATTTTTATGCTGCAGCTATTAGTTCCAGATAGACCTTCTCCATTTAAAATAAACAGCCTCAATAAGAGTTGAAATTTACTGGATCAAAAGAGAAAATTGATCCAACCTTCAAAGAAAGATTTTATTTCTTTATCTTCAATATTTTTTTTGTTATCTCATTGATTTGATTCTACATTCTTAATTACAAGAAGGCTAGATGCACCCTAGATTCAATCATAATTTATTTGAGAAGCATTCACCACCCTCTACAATAATAATTAAATATAATCAACTTAATATGGATTTAATGTTAAAATCATTCCAAATAATTTTGTGATAAATTACAATTAAAAGTAATTACAATGTCAAAAAAAAATTTAGCAATGAAAGATGCTGATTCATAATATGATTATAATCTTTGTTGTTTGTAAAATAATAAATTTAAAAAGTGTTATGATATAGAATGTAAATCAAATAGTATACTTTTTTTAATTATTATATCATGAAGCTACTCTATTATAGTAAAATTTTAGGAAATCGGTGATGTAATCTACAAATATACGTTTTTTTTAAATAGATTTAGAATAGTTAAGATATTTACTTTAAAAGTAAAAAGAAAATTGATACATTGAATAATTAGATCATCCATCAAAACAAAAGAAATCTTTTTTTTATTAAAATTTATATAATTGATATTTTGAAAAAGTATCTAGTCAAAAAATTTGTTGATATTACAATCAAATCAAGAATTTCATAATTTGAAGTAAAGAATATGCAATTCATTCAAATGAATTAGAATTTTTTAAGCTTAGAGGAAATGTGAAAATTAGTTTTTATAACTATAATAGACTTTTAATAAAAAAAACTAAAAAGAATTATGTATGTTCTGAAAAAATGCATGAAGAAATTTAAAAACTGTAATCATATTTAATAAAATGATATTATTTAACATATTTTTATGTTCTATTAATGTTTACTAAAATTCATAATTTAAGCTGAAAACTAATTTTATTTTGATATTTTTGAGCTACAAATTTATGTGTAAATATCTATTTCTCTATATTTTCTTAAGTTAATATTGTTTTATTGACTTCTTTCTCAATTCCTCTGATAACATCGAAAATCATCCATTTGGGTTCCTTTTCTAATTAAGGTATATTTGGATCTTCAAAATCACTATTTTCTTCTTAAGTTTAATAATATTCATAAGAAACATAATAAGATCTTTTTGGAGGATAATAATATTAATATTTATCTGGTCTTTAAGTAAAATCACTCTTTCTTATTAATTTTCCTTTTAATGCATCTATAACAAGTAGTTTATTCTTATAGTAATCGGATGCAACAACAAAAGCTTTATTAAATATATATACAGGGTTGGATTCACAGATATAATTCCTTATAACTTTACATTTTTTTCCAATTCTAATAACAATAAATATACCATTTTCATCTAAAAGAAGCCCAATAGAATCATAAAGTAAATAAAAACGAACATAGCGATAAAGTTATTCATTTAATATTGAACAGATATTAAATTTCCAACATTTAGATTTATCAATTGTGTAATCTTCAAAATTGATTGGTTATTTAATTAATTTACCACTTGATGTTATATAAAAAAAACACTGAGAAATATCATCATATTCTATCCTTAATAATTATTGCCGACGAAATTTAAAGGTCGTTACTTTCTAAAGATCATTTTAAAGATCAAAAAATATATATCTCGATCCTTTATCATTTTTAGAAATATTTATAATTGCTACATTACCATTTTTTGAAAATTATGGTCTTTATCCTGGAAAATAATTTCTGTAACAAAATTTCTTAATCTTTTAATTCTTGATATCAATTACAATCAGTCTATATGACTCTTACTAATTTAAGATTTTTATAATCACACATAAAAATATAAATTAGTGATTTGGACTTATTACCATATATTATACATAAAAAGATGAAATACCCTCATTACTATATTCGAAACTATTATCATGGTCAGAAATATCATCAATCTCATAATCTTATTTGTCTAATTAAATTTATTCTCCTTGTTCATTTGAATAACAATAATTAATATTCAGATCTTCTGGAAAAACAATATCTTCGAAATCATCAACTTTCAAGTAATGATTTTTTATTAAGCAATCTTCAAATTTGTATTCTAATTAATTATCTGCTTAAAATTTGAATGTGAAATTGACTATTCCACAAATTTTTTAATCTTTTCTTTCTGTCTCTTTTTAAATCTCACAATTATCCTCTTTTTATAATTTAATCATCAACACAGAAATATTTTCTTTAATTTAAATATTAGATATTTTATGAGTTTATTCATATATTATTCTTCATTAATATTATCTTGAAATCAACTTTCATTATTACCTTTATTATACTTATAATCTAAAAAAACAAATATTTGGATAATCAATTATTGTAGAAACAGAAATATCAATTTTTCATAAATCCATATAAATTTAAAGTATTAAAATATTCATTTGTTATATAGTATGTAATTATTCTAATTTTTTTAGAGAATGCATGTTTCATATCTTTAAATTCATTTTTCTTTAGCCAACTATATAATAAATTGAATAAATAATTATTAACTTACTTTTCCATATAATTTTCCTCTTAATATTAATTCAAAATTGATTCATAAATTAAATTATTAATTTGTTTCAATAATTTTATATTAAATGATATTATAATAGGTTTAATTAACAAAAAATAAAAGAAAAATAAGCTTTATTACATTTCTTCAATAATTTAAATCAAATAGGAATTTAGCAATAAAAGGATTGAATATTTAAATTAATAGTTCATAGAGATCTATAAACTTTAAATAAAAGAGCTTGAAAATTCAAATTTTAATATTCAAGTCTAACAAAATTAAAGAAGAATAATTAAATTATATAAAAATAGTTTTTTTCTTGTGATTTTAAGAGTTATCAAGTAAATACATAAGTATTGGCTTATTGAATCAAAAAAGAAAAACGAATTGTTATAAAAATGAAATAAAATATTTAAATAGAGGAAAAAATATTAATAAAAATTTCTATTTTAGCCTATGAATGATAAAACTTCTCAAATCAGGTAAACTATCTTATTTATTTTAAAATAAGGAGATTGAAATACAAATAATTATTTAACATGATTGTTCCAAGGTATATATTTAATTGCTTATTTCCATAAAAAGTTTTCTACGGAGACTTAGAATAATTTATTCATAGAAATGTTTTCCATATTATAGGCAATGATGGTTCCTATTATTTTAATTATTGTTTCTTTGGTGAAGCTGCTATTGATAAATGATTTTGTAAAGGTTTATAATTCAAAAGAATTTCACCATATTTAAAGGATTTAAATCAAACTAATGCTACAGGATAATTATCTTGTGTAAATTCCTGGTTTATAGAAGTAAATCCAGAGTGTTGACTTTTACCCTTTGTTAACATAAGGCTGTGTGGTTATTTTTTAGAAACTATTTTTAGATTAGAATCTTTGATGGTTAGTTTTATTTATCAGAACAGCAGTTTATTTAGAAGTTAGAAATATTTACATTACTAAATGTTTAATTTAATTGATTACTTTTTTTAAAAAGGAGCCTGTGGATTTTGATTTTGCAGTTTTTTTACAAAGAAAATCTGTTTAAAATATTTTTGTGACCTACAAAAAACAATATTTATTTAAATTACAATTTATATTTGTTATGATTAAATAGTTGAAGAATTTTTATTATTAATACAATCATAAATTAAAAAATTAAAGCAAAATAAAAAATGTTGTTATGAATTTATATCACTATCCAAAAAAGAAATGATGTTTTTTATATTCAATAATAGTTTTTGTTATTGTTATGAGGTTTACTTTGAAAATGCTAGTAATTATTATTCATGATCTTTGATAATGGATTCTAAAGATTTAAAAATAATGATAATAATATTCTTAATATTCAATCATTTTTTTCTTAAATTTTGATTAATCTCACACAGTTACTAGGTTATAACTGATAAACAAATCTCAGAGTCCATTTAGGAATTACATGTTCATTGGCTTATATAATAAACTATTTTAAAATTTAAGACAGAATTATTTTTGTTTCCATCAATGCCATATGTTATCCTATGCAATTTCTTGGACCTGCTGAAAAAGGAATGTATATGAAGTTGTCATTATTTAAAATTGGTTCAGGGGTTAGCCATCTTTTATAATCAAAATCTTCTGGGTTTACAAAATGTTTTTCTGAAACTGATTGCAACAAAGGGTTAATTATTACATTCCAGTCTAATATTCAATTACATAAATATACTTTTTTATATTTTAAGATCTTTAACTTAATGTGTCTAGATACTATTTCTTACAACCAATTTAGCAGCTGGATTTCTCAATCTTAAAACTTCATTAATAAATGCAGATAATTTGTTTAATTATTTCATTCTATCATCCAATATGTATTCCTCAGTGCACACACTTAAAACTTCTTCTCTAATTTCCTATTGAGCCTCTGGATATTATGCAAAAAAGTAAAGGCAATGATAACATAAAATTGCTGTAGTGTCTGTACCTGCAAATAATAAAGTGATAAATTGTTATAATATCTCATCAATACCTTGACTTTCTGATTTAGAATGTTAATTTTTGATATAATCTTAAAGAAGAACATCTATGAATAGGTTTGACTTTGAATTGCTACTGCTTTATTGTGTACTTGTTTGTATTTCTATTAACCTATTTCTAATTAATTTTGTAATTTCAAACTTAACTAGCTCAATCCTTTATTATATTTTCTTTTCATTTTCAGTTGGGAAAAAATTACAAGCCTTTGTACCTAAAATGAGTCTTTTAACATAAACATATTTAGATTTAAATCTTATCTCTCCCATATCATTTAATAATTCTGCTATAGCAACTTAAATATCTTTTTCAAATATTGTTATTTTCTTAGCAGAATCTCCAAAAAAGCTTTTTATTACTATTTATCCTGTTATTAGCTCTAGCATTTCCAATAAATTGTTCTAGCGCTAAAAATCTGAAATCATTTCAAGGCTAACTTGATTTATCATGGGTAATCTATTTTTAAGTTTTTGGAATTCAAATTATTCTGCTAAAAGCGTTCTTTAAGCCTTCCAGTGACCATTCATTTCGAAAATCAAACCCTTTTTCATTAAATTGCTAATAATATGAAAGACTCTTACTTATCATTAATAACATTCACCTTTTCATAATATTGATGATTATGAAGCATAACTTTGTAGTACTCAGGGTCAGTCACTTGTATTCTTATTTTCCATAAAAAGTTTGAAACAAATAATTTATAAGGTTGTCTTTTGTATTACTCCTTTTCAAATTTGAAAATGTCATGAGTAATCTTCATATCATTCAATCGCTTCCATATCTCCCCTCCTAAGAAGTGATATGATATTTTGCAATCCTATCCAAATTACATTTTCAGCCTAAACATTGAGCACAATGGTTTAATAACAAAAACATAAATGAAGAATAAAAATGTGCCCAAAAGAAGGTGAATCAGCATCTTGTTAATTTTAATTAAGATATTCACAAAAATTTTCAATCGATTTATACAATTATTTGTAGAAAACCCAATTTTTTGAATTAGTATCCTGTTTTATAATGAATTAAAACTATTTTTAGAATTTATTATTAAAATTTATTTTATTATTAAGATCTAATATTTTTGAAAATATATTTATCATTTTCATATTAATATATTCTAAGATATTATGGATATTCAAATATTAAAATATGAATAATAAATAATTATAAAGAATAGAACTTTATGAAGAATGATTATTAATACTATTTTTTAAAATCCATTATTTAAAATTAAATTATTATCTCAATCTTTTCCATAGATTTTATCAACTTCTTTATGTGTTAATCCTTTTGTTTCTTTAACAAAAAAATAAAAGAAAGTTGTTGATAATAATGTGAGACTTAAGAAAACAATAAATGATCCACTCATAGCCAAAGTATCCAACATCAATGGAAAAATATACAATACTAATAATTACCAAGCATATAAAGTAACAAAACAGAAGTAAGTCCCTTCACTTGAATTGATTTCCGGAATCATAGACTTAATAAATTAAAGACCTTACCCAAGTAATTGGTTCCAAAGTCAATACATATTAGAAAGAAAAGATACAGATGACAATAAATGAAATAACAACAATTGACAATTCTTAAGAATAACTAAGTCCAATAATAAGTATCTAACATAAAATTAAGACAGTAAGTCCAAATAATAACAATGATCTCTTACCCCATCTTCCATAAACATATTTAGATATAAAAGCAGGAGCAAATTATACTATTCCAATAATTAAATTAAATATTGCATTCAATGTAGTATCATCCTTTGACATTTCTGAAAATATTTATGAACTATAAGAAAATAATGCAAATAATCCTGACCAAGTATAAACGAAAACAAGTACACAACCAATTATTACTGTTGTTCTATGTTTTTTAGTGAAAATACTGAGTATCCCTTCTCCTAATTCGATGTTTTTTTGAACTCCTAATTTACATTCTAAAAATGCTTAATCTATATATTAAGGTTGATAAATTTTTCTTAATATTTCTTTTGCTAATATATCTTTATCCCTTTGAATTAAAGTTATAGGACTATCCATTTTATATAGAAATGTAAGTATAAAAGATCTACAAAAGTGTAATAAAGCAGGAAAGGCAAAAATAAATTTCCAATAATTAGAATCAGAACCATTTAAAGAATCATCAATGTAACCCAAACCTAAAAAAGTAACAAATAAATATCCTCCTCCAACCAGAAAGCCAGCCATAACTGAAAAAGATTCATAATATTTTTGAGGACACAATTCCTTTAAATATAGAGGCATTATTATTGTAGAAATACCCAAACAAACACCAAAACTGAAACGAAAAGCAAGAATAACTTCTCTATTCGGAATTATTTGAAGGATGCTTAAGATACCAAATGCATCTGAAATCAAAAGAGATTAGTTTCTTGTTGTATATTTAAGCAGTGGCTATGTCATAACAGCACCAATAATTTGACCTATAGATAATACAGCACTAAATAATCCTTATTCTTCTATTTCAGAACCCTGTAATGTACTTTTATTTATATATAAATCTACATTTGTGAAAATAATGTTGTGAATGAAATTGATAAATATGCTAGTGAGTAACCAAGTGCAAAGTTACCACTTTGAATAGCAATCATAATAACACTTAAATGAAAGAATGATTTGATTTCTTCTTCAGTTTCTTATTA